CAAATGAGAGGGGATCATACAGCCCAGTTAGCCCATTTGGCAATTAGGAACCAATTGATCCAAGAATGTAATTGAGTTGCTTCTCAAAAGAAACCAGGGTTATCAGCTTCAACAACATGGCAGAGTGACTTATTCCACGGTTTATTCCACAATCCTTTGGGTAAGGAACTGCCCATTCAGAAAACCAGGTTTTGAACTTCCGTAAGGTTTCCACTTGTTTCTGTGTCCCAGTGTTTATTCTGAAGAATTTCCCTGTTCTGGGCCTCGTCAGTGCCCGTGTTAAGGGATTAAATGCCGTACATGGATCAGCCTCATAGTATACTCTGTTTAAGACCAAAGAGATTTTGCTCCTTCAGTTCAGATCTGTGCGATTCAAAATACCGCTCTGCTTGATGCGCTCTGCTTTCTTTTCTGGTCCATCCTGGCCTGGTCTGTGGCATTCAAAAAAACAAAAGAAATTGAATTTGACCGTAGAATCCTCCATTTTGTCTGCAGAGCAGCTGAAAAAGTGCTGTTTTACCCCTTTTATCTGCATTAAACAGCTCCTGTTTTTGCACGTTGGCCATTGAAGTTGTGCCTGGTTGTTTTTCTTTTTTCTTTTTCAGACGTCAATGAGTGTGAGAACCCCTTGATTTGTCCCGGGCAGGAGTGTGTTAACTCCGCAGGCTCCTTCCAGTGTATTCCTTGTCGACAAGGGTACAGACTGCAGAATGGCAGGTGTACAGGTAATTCTTCAAAGCATGAGTCTTATTCTAAGAACAAATTCCAGTGCTGAAAGTGCCCATTGCTTTCGGGTTTGTTTTAATACAAGAACTGTGGTCAAGTTCTTGTACAGTGCCACTGTCATTTGCTGAAGGGTAAATACAGTATAGTATAGGGTGATTCATATTATTTCATTTCCCCAGGCTTTCATTCACTTAATTAGAGATTTATTAGAGTGGGAAACATTATTTTCACATTGCAGTGTTTAACAATCATTAGATTACTAATCATGCAAATGCATTAAATTAAATTGAATTTTTTTTAAATAAATTAAAAAACTTTTATTTCGTCCGTCAGCCTATCATTGCTCACATTACACACACATATAAATGCATGATATTGAGGACAAATATATCAGAAATATGAGTGTTTAGGTTATGTATGCTATTGCACTCCAAGACCGTTCCTCCTATAAAAGTAACTGGCTGTGTTCTGTCTTACATGACACTTTTACAGTGTGCACAGCACTAAATGGAAGAGGAAATCTGTGTGGTTTGTGTTTGAGAGCCTCTATTAGGTGTTATAGCCCTAGAAATAAATGACATCATAGAGAGTCATTTCTAGAAATAAAAACATCGTAGAGAGCTCTCTGCTGTGGTCTACTATGTTATGAAAAACATTACACAAGACAGAAGCTAAATGTTGGTTGGCAGCCTACAGTACATTCTGTCAGGCTTCTAAAACACAGTTGCCAGCATTCGGACAAACAGCAACCTGCTGGGAATGAATGAGTCAGCCTGTTTGTAGCATCCCCCACCCCCCAGTTCCTAACCACAACTGCACTGTGTTTACTCGAGTTGTTTTGGCAACCTTTTCGATGAGAAAACAAAATCGGTCAGTCCTATCTAGGATAAGATGCGCACAAGAGCATTTTGCGAAAACAAAGTCAAACAGAATGGGAAACGCAGCTGGGGAAGAATCTACCATCTGCAGCTGAGAATGAAGGGCTCTGGTCAGGATTATTCAGTTAACAAATGAAATGCCGCTGCTGATGATCCACAATGAAGCCACGGGCCAAAATATGACTGTAAGGATATTGGTAGAGTGTGGTCCTTATGGGTTGATGCAGTACACGAATATGTAAATAGTGTATATATAGAGAGTAGTAGATTGAGGGGCAGTTGATTAGGCAGTTACAGAGTTAGTGTAGTGTAGTAGTTATAGAGCACTGTGTTAATAAAGTGTTCGTTCATCATTAAGAAGGTGTGTGATTAATGACCGCCGTTAAGAACACAAATAGAGAACATAACAATGACGAGTGTTAAGGAAGCATAGTGGTTAATTACAATT